TTGTTGTTTGGCGGGTCCGGGCTGGGGATTCGAACCCGCCACCTTAGGTGTACGTGGCTGGCGCCTTAGCCAGTTGAGCTATAGGCGCCAAGCCTGGAGCGTGAGTCTTGCAAGCCTCCTCCCCAGGAAAAGTTGCTAACAGCACAGCCAGCCAGGTCGCCAGGAGAGAAAAGGCCTCAGACATCTAAGGAAATTCCTTGCTGGCCTCCCATTAACAAGACCTTGCCAATTGAGCTTTGGGTCTGCAGCTAAGTCTAGCCCCTAAAAATAAAGTCTGTTCAATTCATCTGTCCAAATAAAAATGACTGAGGCAAAAATCTTAATCAGTGGAGGTTTATTAAGACAAAGTCAAGGACTTGTCCAGGAAAAAAAACAAACCAAACTATGAATGCTTGTAAGTTTACCTTCCCAGAACTAAAATAAAATCTTAAAGCTCCCCCGACAGCAACTGACTGACTAGACCCCCTCATACCCCAGGGGATCCCTAAAACTGAGTTGCTGGCCGTGAGAAAGGGGATCAGACAAGCCTCCTCATGCCCTTCCCCTCAGAGATGTCCTGTGTCTCACTAACAGGCCTAAGGCTATTCAAGACCTACCCACAGGCCCTAAATATACACAATAAACCACTTAAGTCTTGTCTCTGATTTACAGACCCTTACTTTGGCATTCCTTTTCACTGACTTCCTGGTCTATTAGCAGCTGACTCTTTCAGCCAATTGTCAGCTAAAGAATCTTTAACCCAGGGCGGAGCCTGTGGCTCAAAGGAGTAGGGCCCAGGCCCCATATGCTGGAGATGGCAGGTTCAAACCCAGCCCCCAGCCAAAAACTTAAAAAAAAAAAAAAAAAAAAAAAGAATCTTTAAACCCAAGGGTTGGCACCGGTAGGGCACCAGCCACATACACCAAGGCTGGTGGGTTCAAGCCTGGCCTGGGCCTGCTAAACAATGACAATAACAATAACAAAAGTGGCAGGTTGCCTGTAGTCCCAGCTACTTGGGAGCTAAGGCAAGAGAATCACTTAAGCCCAGGAGTTTGAGGTTGCTGTGAGCTGTGATGCCATGTACTCTACTGAGAGTGACATAGTGAGACTCTATCTCAAAACAAACAAAAAATCTTTAAACCCACCTATCACCTGCAAGCCGCCTCCCCTTCCAGATGTCCTACCTTTTGGGCCAAAACAAATATTATGACCTCACCTGTAATTCCTGTCTCCCTAAAATGTATAAAACCAAACTAACCCCACTGCTGAGAGTCCATGTTCAAGGCTTCTTGAGTGTGGCTACAGGTTATGGTCCTCAAATTTGGCTCAGAATAAACCTCTTGTGTTATTTTATAGAATACGGCTTCTTTTTCATCAACAATGGGATCAATGGATCTAACTAAGGGGTATCTACATAATGAATGCTTCATTTTTCTCTTGTAACATTCACCTGTTATTATGTAAAATATAGAACCTGGGCCTCACAAACAAGTACCCACTTGTCTCACTGCCCACTCTCCTCCTCCTGTATGCCCTGTCCTCTTTATTTTATTTTTATTTTTTGGCAGTTTTTGGCCAGGGCTGGGTTTGAACCCACCACCTCTGGCATATGGGGCCGGCGCCCTACTCCTTTGAGCCACAGGCACTGCCCCCTGTCCCCTTTAAAAACTGAGTTCCTAAATTGCATTTCAGAAAAACTTAGTCACCGATATGTATATGGTTTGTGTTTTTCCTGACCTTGTCCTCAAACTTTGGCATAATAAACCTCCATTGATTAAGATCTTTGCCTCACTTACTTTGCCACTTACATGGCAAAATGGACTTTGCAGATGCAACTAAGTGAAGGATTCTGAGATAGGTTATCTGGCAGGCCCAGTGAAATCCAGTGTCCTTACAAGGAGGGAGGCAGACTAAGGGGTTGGAAAATGGAGGAAGACAGCTGCCAGAAGCTGGACAAGGCAAAGCCACAGATTCTTCCTGACAGCTTGATTTTACTGCCTACAACTCATGATTTTTTTTTTTTTTTCCCCGAGGCAGAGCCTCAAGCTGTTGCCCTGGATAGAGTGCCATGGCATCACAGGTCACAGCAACCTCCAACTCCTGGGCTCAAGCCAGTCTCCCACCTCCACCTCCCAAGTAGCTGGGACTACAGGCACCCACCACAACGCCTGGCTACTTTTTGGTTGCAGCCATCAATGTCCTTTGGCCGGCCCAGGTTGGATTTGAATCCACCAGCTCAGGTGTATGTAGCTGGTGCCTTAGCCACTTGAGCCACAGGTGCCAAGCCCTACAATTCATTTTGGACTTCTGACCTCCAAAAGTGTAAAATTAACAAAGTGGTGGCAATTTTGTTATTGGGGGAATAGGAAACTAATACACTATTGCAACTGCTATAATAATTCTCACTTAAGGATATGTATTCAGTGTAGTTTTTAATGGCCATATCGTGTGCAATTAACTCTACAGGAGGACATTCAAACTGTTTACAGGCTTTCCATCAGGGTAGAAAGGGGCTGAAACTGTCTTTACATTAATAAAGAGGTGCAAGGAGAGAACTGGAGTAAGGGCTCCAAAACTATATTTAGGATGGGTGGCGCCTGTGGCTCAAGGAGTAGGGAGCCGGCCCCATATGCCGGGGGTGGCAGGTTCAAACCCAGACCTGGCCAAAACTGCAAAACCCCCCAACTATATGAAGGAACAAGCCTAGCTAAAAAACGATGATACTTAGCTGCTGTCCATAATTACTACTCTGGAGTCACGTAGCTGGTGGCCATAAAGAGTTTTAGCTTTATGAGTCATCGTCCAGGTCCTGGATTCCAAGGGGCTGGTGACTCACCCAAGCCCCTGAGGTCTAGAGCACGGGACTGAGGGCTCTGCCCTCCCAGCTGTCTTTGAAAACCTTGTCTCCCAAAGTCCCTGGGAGGAGAATTTGAAGAATTCCTCCCACCTGGCCGCTTAGCGCTCTGCGGCATTAAACGTTCTCCCGCCGCCGCAAGCCCGCCGTGAGCCCGCCGTGAGGTGCTCTGGCTCCGTCTGGGCCTGGCAGGTTCCAAGGTCAGACAGCCCTGCGCGGTCCGGGGCTGGAGCGGCGCCCAGTGCTCAAGGTGCCCTGGCCGTTCTCCACCTTCGCCGGCACATTTTACACCTAGCGACAGTGCCCAAGCCCAGGACCCAGAGGTGCTGTTGGGTCCTGGCCTCCGCCCCAGCCGCCGTCCCTGCTGTCTCTGCCGTCCCCTGGGGGCCGCAGACCACCCAGGACTCGCGCGCGCCCTCTGCGCCCCACCTCCGGGATCGAACGTGGCTGCCGTTCCTGGGAGGTCGGGTCTTCGAGAGAACACTACGAGGAGAACGATGCCCCACACCTGACGCCAGCAGGTGCCCCCACACCGCACTCCCGGCGTGCTCCGGGACGGCGCGATGACGCACGGGGAGCGACACGTTAGCTGACGCCCTGCCCTCCCCGCCCGCCCCACCCCGGGGACCCCAGTGTGGAGTCTGCAACTTGGATCACAGTAGCACCCGGCGCACGTGTTCAGGAGGCCTGACCACAGCTGGCGTCGGGGAGGGCTGGCCGCGGGCTGACGCGTCGCCTGAGGGACTGACCTCAAGGCGCCCGACTGGCGGTCACTGGCCTGCAGGCTGAGAGCTACGAGGCGGATTCTGGACCGGCCGAATTGGGCGGTGTCTGCAACGGCGGGGTGGGGCCGGAGTGCGGGGTGATGCCGCGCTGCCTACGCGGCGGGCGGAGTCGGGGCCCTCCGGCCTCCTTCCTGCAAGGTGGGGCAGCGGAACGTGAGCCTGTCACGGGGAGAGACATCCCATAAGCCCCAGAGGGAGGTTTCCGGGTTTGGGGGCGTCTTCTACAGAGAAGGGGGCATCGGGCGAGTAGGGTTGGGTTTCAAAAGGGGTACCCTGCGCGGCCTCGTTTGGGCGGTGTCACGAAAGCTTACGTCCCTGGGACGCACTTATCTGGTGTCAAAAGTTTACGTTAGCAATTTTGATAAAAATATGCTTATATATAAAAAAAGTGCATATATATTATTTTTGTGTGTGTGGTTTTTGACAGGGGCTGGGTTTGAACCCGCCACCTCCGGCATATGGGGCCAGTGCCTTACTTCTTTGAGCCACAGGCGCTGCCCGTTTATATATATTTTTGTTTGTTTTGAGACAGAGTCTCACTCTGTCGCCCTGGATATAGTGTCCTGGCGACATAGCTCACAGCAACCTCAAACTCCTGGGCTCAAGCGATCTCTCCTGCCTCAGCCTCCCAGGTGTGAGCCACCGAGCCAGGCCTGTTTATATTATTTTTCAGTGTTCTTTGATGAACTTTTCTAAAATCAATTATAAGAAGAACTCTACCTAACAAAATCAAATATTTTGACCTGGTTGTACCTTCACATTAACTTGAAATAAATTAACTTTTAAATTAAAAATAAATATTAAGAATAAAAAATAAAATAAAATAAATTCAGGCAATCATCTGTGATGGTCTCTGGCAGGCACTGGGGTCAGCAGAGGGTTGGGGTCGACCAAGACCACGTGGTGCCAGGCAGGCTTCTGGGAGGAGGAGGACAGCAGAGAGGAAGGCCCACCTCCTTTCTGTGGTGCCATTGCTGTTTTTGTGTTTCTTTGTATTTAACTTTTTTTTTTTTTTGCAGTTTTTTTTGGCTGGGGCTGGGTTTGAACATTCCACCTCCAGTACATGGGGCCAGCGCCCTACTCCTTTGAGCCAACAGGGGCTGCCTATGTTTCTTTGTATTTAATGCACACCAAAAGCCAAGGCTTGTTGGAATTATGACTAAAGAGCAGTTTCTAGGCTGGGATTGGTGGACCAAGTTTGTAATTCCAGCACATTGGGAGGATCCCTTGAGGCCTGGAGTTAGAGATCAGTCTCTGAGAGCAAGAGCTCTCGAAATAAAATAAAACCATTTCTGAGCACAGGTTTGATTATGCAAATAAACATTGCCTAGTTCAACATATTAACTTTGTGACTTAGGCTTTGCATGCTTATTCAACAAATGTTACATTTTTGTCTAGCTCACAATTCTCTTAATTTAACATTTTGGCATATGAAATTGGAAACAAGGGGGTTATATGCCAGAGCTGCTCTTTAGCAACTTGTGGAACCTCTGTTACCATTGTCTTTAAAAGAGAAGGTTGGGCCAGTTGCTGAGACTCAGGCCTGCAATCCCTCTGGGAGGCCGAGGCAGGAAGATCACATTTGTCTAGGAGTTTGAGACCAGCCTAAGCAAAAAAGTAATACTCTAACTCCACTAAAACTAGAAAAATTAGCCAGGCATGGTGGGGAATGCCTGTAGTCCCAGCTACTAGGAGGCTGAGGTAAGAAGATTGCTCAAGCCCAGAGTTTGAGGTTGCTATGAGGATGACGCCACAGCACTATAGCTTGGGTGATAAAGTGAGGCTGTGTCAAGAAAAAGAAAAAGAAAAGCATGCTGCAAAACCAAAATGATTTTGATTTAGAATCTGGATGTGAGGTTTAGAATTCATCCTTGGGCTGGGTGTGCTTATAATCCCAGCACTTGGGAGGCCGATAAGGGTGGATTGCCTGAGCTCAAAGGTTGGAGACTAGCCTGAACCGGAGTGAGACCTCATCTCTAAAAATAGCTGAGTGTTGAGGTGGGCAGCTGTAGTCCCAGCTATTTGGGAGGCTGAAGCAAGAGAATCACTTAAGCCCAGGAGTTTGAGGTTTCTGTAAGCTATGATGCTTCAGCATTCTACCAAGGGCGACAAGTGAGACTCAGTCTCAAAAAACAATAAAAAATAAATTAAAAAGGCTCGGCGCTCATAGCTCATTGGTTACGGTGCCAGTCACATACATGGAGGCTGGTGGGTTCGAACCCAGCCCAGGCCAGTTAAACAACAATGACAACTGCAACAAAAAATAGCTGGGTGTTGTGTTGGGCACGTGTAGTCCCAGCTACTTGGGAGGCTGAGGCAAGAGAATCACTTAAGCCCAAGAGCTTGAGGTTGCTGAGAGCTGTGATGCCACAGCACTTTACAAGGGCAACATAATAAGCCTCTGTCTCAAAAAAGAAAATATATTGGGTAGCACCTGTGGCTCAAAGGAGTAGGGTGCAGGCCCCATATACTGGAGGTGGCAGGTTCAAACCTGGCCCTGGTCAAAAAAAAATATGTTCCTTAAAAATATCTTATTTTATTTTATTTATTTTGAGACAGAGTCTCACTTCGTCACTCTGGGTAGAGTGCTGTGGGGTCATAGTTCACAGCAGCCTCAAATTCTTGGGTTCCAGAGATCTTCCTGGGATCAGGCATGGTGGCTCACACCTGTAATCCTAGCACTCTGGGAGGCCATGGTAGGTAGATTGTCTGAGCTCAGGAGTTGGAGACCAGAATGAGTAAGAGTAAGACCCTGTCTCTTTAAAAAATATATATGTTGTGGCAGACGTTGTGGCTGGCACCTATAGTCCCAGCTACTCAGGAGGCTGAGGCAAGAGGATCACTTAAGCCCAAGAGTTTGTGGTTGTTGTGAGCTATGATGCCATGGCACCCTATGGAGGGCAACAAAATGAGACTGACTCTGTCTCAAAAAAAAAAAAGTCCTCTCGCCTCAACTTCCCAAGTAGCTGGGACTATAAGTGCCCATCACAATGGCTGGCTAGTTTTTCCACATTTAGTAGAGAAGAGATCTTGCTCTTGCTCAGATTGGTCTCACACTCCTGAGCCCAACTGATCCTCCCACTTCAGCCTTCCAGAGGGCTGGAATTACCAGTGTGAACCACTTTACCTTGCCTGTTTTGAACTTTATGTAAAAGAAATCATGAGTGCACATTCTTTTTCGTGTCTGATTTCTTCTCAACATTTATGTGATGCTCATCCACTTCATTGAGACTAGCAGTAGTCAGTTCAGTCTCCAGTACACCATGATGTATTTATTTACCTGTTATATCCTAGTGAACATTTAGGTATTTCTATCTTTTGGCTATTATAAAAAACATTGCTTTGTATGGACGTTCTTGTGTGTGTTTTTGCTAAATGTGGTGGGCATTTCTGGCTGGATGTATACCTAAGAATAGGAGTGGAATTGCTGAGTGATAGAGGAGTACGTGTATGTTCAGTTTTTTTGTTTGGGGAGCAAGGTTCTGGTGACCTCATAAAATGAGTTGGGAATTGTATCCCCATTTTCTGGAAGAGATAATAATATTGGCATTCATTATTTCTTCTTCTTCATTTTTTTAGAGACAGAGTCTCACTTTGTCACCCTCAGTAGAGTGCCATGGCGTCACAGCTCATAGCAACCTCCAGCTCTAGGGCTTAGGTGATTCTCTTGCCTCAGCCTCCCAAGTAGCTGAGACTACAGACACCCGTCACAACGCCTGGCTATTTTTTTGTCGTTGCAGTTTGGCTGGAGCTGAATTTGAACCCGCCACCCTTGGTATATGGGGCCAATGCCCAACTCACTGAGCCACAGGGGTGGACCAAATTTAATTAATTTATTTTGTTGTTGTTGCAGTTTGGCCAGGGCCGGATTCAATCTTGCCACCCTTGGTATATGGGGCCAGTGCCCTACTCACTGAGCCACAGGCGCCACCCTTACATTCATTATTTCTTAAATGTTTTGTAGAACCAATTTAGTTTTTTTCTTTGTAGGAAGGTTTTATATCATGGATTCTATTTCTTTAACAGTTCTAGAACTATGCAGATTTTTCTATTTCTTCCTATGATGGTTTTTGTAAGTTGTATTTTTAGAGATTTGTACTTTTCCACTGTATTTTCAAAATGTTTGGAATAAAGCTTTTCATAATATCCTGGTTTTAAAAAAAATTATCTGTTGTATCTGTAGTGATTTCCCCTTTTCATACCCAATACTGATTTTATGTTAATTTTTTTTTTTTTTTGAGAATCTCACTATGTCACTCTATATAGAGTACTGTGGCGTCACAGCTCACAGCAGCCTCAAACTCTTGGGATGAGCGATTCTCTTGCCTCAGCCACCCGAGTAGCTGGGACTATAGGTGCCCAACACAACGCCTAGCTATTTTTAGAGATGAGGTCTTGCTCTGGCTCAGTCTGGTCTCAAACTCATGAGCCCAAGCAGTCCACCCATCTCAGCCTCCCAGAGTGCTAGGATTACAGAAGTGAGCCCCCACACCCAGCTGTTGTATCTTTAATATCTCACTAGTGTCTGCTCTTTATTTCATGTTTCCTTCTAGTTTTAGGGATTTCACTTCTTATGTCAATTCTTTTTTTTTTTTTTTTTTGAGACAGAGTCTTAATCTGTCACCCTGGGTAGAGTGCCATGGCATCACAGCTCATAGCAACCTCCAATTCCTGGGCTCAAGTGATTCTCTTGCCTCCACCTCCCAAGTAGCTGGAACTACAGGTTCCTGCC